TGTAAAATAGTACCTCCGGCTGGACTACTGCACCTGTTGTTTCAGGAGGCGCATAGTAGAGGTCACTGTGCTACCTCCAAGGTCACAGCCCTTATTTCCCAACATTGGTGGCATCCTTATCTCAAAGATATTACTCGATACTTTGTACAGAGTTGTGAAATATGTAATCAGTATAATCCAAAAACATCGTTGAAAGCAGGCCTGGGCAGTTTCCCTGTCCCAGACGCCCCATGGAAGACAATAGTGATAGATTTCACTGACATGGGGGCTGAGACACATGAACACACCGCACAGATCAGTACAAAGACTGTGCCTGTGTGACAGAAATAACCCCTCCCTCCCCCCTACCAGCAGGAGGCGGTATCTGTATTCGCTATTCAGAAAGGGGAAGAAGAAGAAGACCAGCTAGGTCAAAGGTCAAAACGTTTATTTGTCATATGCACAGTTAGGAAACGTATTTCCCTGTACAATGAAATTCTTACTTTGCCATTGTAGTATCTAGAATCTGATACAGACTAAATTACTTCAGACAAATCATCCCAATTTAAATAATCATTTAATATTACAATTATTCTGAACAGGGTAGGTAATCTGGTAGTTAGGGAATAGAGAACAGAATCATTCCTCCTGCATGGAATAGATAAAGTATTAAATAAGAAGATTGTCAGAGTCAGTCAGTCTTGGTCAGGGGTCCAGTCAGTCTAGAGTCCGTTCCCTCCACCCAGGCCTGGGTCCGAAAGAGCACACGCTTCTCTATCACAGTAGCATTCTTCTTCCCCTACATCCTTCTCATTACAGTTTTTATCCACAGGTTTCTTGGGCTGTTACGTCAATTTCCAAACTTAGCTTCCTGTCTCCAGTTTTAGGAGACAACACCCTGAGATGTACCCAAAAACAGGAAACATCTTGGCCAAATGATATAAGCTCATTGTCCAGCTCACATGAACTTAAAAGTGAGCACACAAACACTCGATTCTATTACATAATCCATATTAACATGTAACTTAAAACCACTACACCGTCCACATGAATGCCACAGAATACAAGTGAAATATAAAGTAGATGAGCAATAACACAAATCTAAATAGGCAGTAATACAAATCTAACACACTTTAAAGCAACAGGTGAAGGAAGCAAATAAAAATACAACAGGAACACAATATAATGCAGAGGGTGTGCAATTATGCACTCTACTGTAGTGTATGGGTTAATCCCACAACTCTTTCACTTTCTTTTCCTCCCATGCTCTCTGATTCAGCAGAACAAGTCTGAAGAGTGTTTACAATTCACTGACCTGACTTCAAAACCAGCTTAATAAATAGGCAGTAACACAAATTTAAGGCAGAACGTGAAAGTATGAGCTGTAAACAAAACAACTCTGGCTCAATGCTAGAAAGATTTAACATTGAGCTGGATCATAGGTGCGATTTTTGTGGCCTAGATAAAGAAACCATTCCACATGAGTTTTTTCATTTGATCTATTTCAGGATGTTTCAAACTGTGGTGGACAACTTTCTGACACGGACACTTGGGACTGTTATAAATGTGCATCTGCTCTGTGTTTTATTTTGAAAAACTGAGACTGGTACAAAAATGTTATTTTTCAATTAATTGTTTTACTTGGAAAATATATTCATAAGGTAAAATGGATGAATTCCAAGCCATAATGAGTAAAATCAGGGATACTAAAGAGACAGGCTGATGGGGCTGTCCCTAATCGATCTCTTCTCATGCAGTGATTCGCTCAGCAGCCAGTCAGTGTGGTGTCTGTTATCGACGAGGCCCACCTGGCTGACACCAATTCAACATGTCGAAGACAAAGGCCAACTACTGTCAAGATAATTTTATAACTGTACATGTCATTTGCTGCTCATGTGACACTGAACACTTGCACTGTATGCTATTAAATACTTTGATTAAACTGTGTTAAACCTAAGAGAAAGGTCAATCTCCAGTATTTCAAAATTGTGAAAAGCTGTCTAACCAAATGAAAAAGTATACAGGACATTCGAACACCTCAAATAATATTTAATCAAAGTGATCATACGGTATGTACATAGTAAACTTAAATAAAAAAAATTACATATATTAAAATACCATCTGCACAAAGAAAAAGTCAGTTCCTTGATCCAAACATAAATTCAATGAACAAACAAAGTGAACACTGACATTACACTGAACTGTACATTTACTCTCTTTTTGTGTTGAATTTTCCCCAAACACTTTTACAGTGTCGCATTTGACATGCAGAAGAACTAGAAGCTTCAAAAAGAACCCATGGCTGATCACCAGCATTCTGGACACAAATAAATAAAACACACAATTAGTTTCCTGTTTAAACATAAAACAGGAATTCACAAGCAGCCTGAATAAATTAAGAAGATAATATTTTCTGGTCTACAAGTGATGTGTCTGACAAAGCCACATCACATCACTAAGCAGTGGAGACATTTAACTCAAAATTCATTATTAAAATGACTTATTTGACATATTACAGATACCTGTGCATAGAAGCGGAAGGTTAAGGCCTTTGGAGGCAATGGTATGAGCATGACGAGAACGTGTTTGGAGATGCAACTCTGTCTGAAACAGTAGGTTACATAAAATCTTTGCCCTTAATCAAATGAAAAACATAACAGTGTGAATTACTAGGTGGACAATAAGCCTTATACTGTACAGTCACATGTAGACTGAGCCATGATTAAATAATGATTTATAATCACAAAAATTTCTGAAGACAATGTTGTGAATGTGCATGACTGGGACAACAATCTAAAATATCTGGCCTTCATGCATCTTTGCTTATGCGCGTCATGAATTGTGTTATATGAGATTAAAGAGAAGTAACAGTAAACCAGACAATGATGAGATTATTAGCTCCCAAAATGAGTTTGCTTTTGAGCCTGTTCAAATGATAATTTGTAATTTTTCTCAACAGCCTCTAAGAAACATTGGTTCAGAGCAGCCTGTTCCTTCTTTTAATTCTGAATGAGCCTCAGACTTTAAACATACACATACAGTGGAGCAATTCCTATAAAACATGTGAGCATGTATGTACTGTACATGTACATTCTTTCTCTGTTCTCATATGGAACAGTGAGAGGAACAGTTCTGAGTGACTCACAGCTTCACTCAGGCCTCTTTAGCCTGGCTTGTCTGTGTTGACAAACCCTCAAGAGGCATCTCGCTCACCAGAACAGGTCGGTAGCTATGCTGGTTGTCTTGGATAAGTGAAAAGGTTGCAGCATGTTTCAGGCCTCCTTCAACAATGGCATATCTGTAGACAACAGACAAAAGGTCTGCATCACTACAATGTGGGGATTTTAGAGTAAAACATTTATGAAGAGAACTTTACCATCAGTGTAGTCCATTTCAGAGTCCAGAGATAGACTGTGTTGGTCGCTGCCTGCAGACGGCCTTCTTTGTGAGGATGAAGAAACTGCATGCTCCAGAACCCAGGCAGAGGATGAGGGAGATGGTAAAGGAGAGGATGAAGATAGTGGTACAGAGTGAACCACAGCCATCTCTGAATGCTGCTGTTTGAGGGAAGAAGGCCTCAAGGGGCCAGCCTCTGGCTCTGTAGCATGCTGACCCTCAAACAGCACTATCTGGACTCGAGACTCGGAGCTGAGACCTGAGGATGAGGTTCCACTACCACTCACAGCCTCCTCATATGAGGGCAGAGACACCTGGACTCCTTCCACCATGATTGACACAGGTTGGCCAGACACCCCTTGATCACATCTAGACCAGATGAAAAGTTAGACTCTCTCAACTTTATACTTTGAAAATTAGTTTTCCTCAGTGTGCCTATCATAATCTTTAATTATACAATGCTGGTAGTGACAGAGGGCAGACTCACCGATGGAGTGATTTGAGTTTTGGCTGCAGAAGTACAAATAGCACCACCAGGAGCAGGATAAGGGAAACTGAGCTGGCTGTGGATGCCACTATGGACAAAGTAGGCATTCCCAATGGTAAAGTTGGATCACGGTCTGTAAGACATGAATAAATGAATCACTTATTTGTACATAACTTTGTAATTATGTATCTGTGACTTAAAATGTGTCATAGAGGTGTTACCTTGTTCCATGAGGCAGCTGAGCTTCATTTGGCTGTCCCATTCCCCATACTGACAGGTAAGGTATTTATAATCTCCCTTCAGAATATAACCTTCATCACAGAAATATTCAATCACAGTACCATGAGAAAGTCTTCTGCATGGGGAGGGGTGGCAGGTGTAGCCCCCATTCTCTGGCTGATATGGGGGTTGGCATACTGTGAATGGAAAGTAAGCAATGTCAGGTATACATAAACTTCAGTTTTGTATGCTGTTGCACTAAGCTACCAGCACGGGTTTGAATTCTATAAGGACAAGGACTTAAACTGATTAGAAATTACAATCTCAGCATACAAAAATAACATAGAGTTCTCAAATGTGTATTATTAAAATGATGTCTGAATGTCATTTTTTAATATCATGGTTATTGTCAATACTGGCATATCACAACACCCCTAGCTTTGATTATGAAAAACAACAAAATAGCTTACTGTAATTGTGCAAATGACAGATTTATATAACAACATCATGAGATGACTATTGACTCATAAAAGCACTGAGTAAGTCACATGTGTCAAACTCAAGGCCCGCGAGATCATTTTATATATTTTTTTTAATGGCCTGGCGATATGAAGCGCTGATAACACACAAAACTACAAATCCCATAATGCAGCGCAACAGCTGCCTTACCGAACAATAGGCTACCTATGATCATTCCTGCGTCAATTACGTCAGATCAATCAGGCGCCCGTCAATCAAGTCAAAGCTAGCCCCTAACAATGGCCAAGAGAAAAGTTGATTCTGAAAACAGAGCCATTCAAAACCGGTGGGAGGCTGAGTATGTTTACTGACATTGCGGGTAAACCCCGTGTGTCTTATATTTGGAGCTAATGTGGCTGTAATTATGGAATATAACCTAAGACGGCACTACAAGACAAAACATCAGGACAAGCTGAAAAATGTGAATGCAGAGCAGAAGCTACAGAAGGTAGAGGAGTTGAAGAGGAATCTGACATCACAGCAGACGTTTTCACCAAAGCGAAATCACACAGTGAAACTGCTGTGAAAACAAGTTTTATTGTGGCAGAGGAGAAAATCAGCCCGGCCATTTACCGAGGGAGAGTTTCTGAAGAGCTGCATGATGAAGGGTGTGACGTCTTGTGTCCAGACAAAAAGCAGGTGTTTGCAAATGTAAGCCTTAGCAGAAATACGGTTGCTGATTTTAAGTTCAAGTTAATTTATTTTAGAATAATATTGTATCCTGTCTGTTTCGATTCATATTTATGTTAAAAAAATGTTTAGTTTTATCCTGTTCGGCCTGCGACCTAAAGTGTGCTTTGAGTTTTGGCCCCCTGTGCGATTGAGTTTGACACCCCTGGAGTAAGTGAACTGAACAAAGCAGTGATTGGATATGCCACCATTTTCACCAGTTAAACAAACATAAAAATGATTGTTTTCAGAGATAAGGAAGAACAACTGAAATTCAGCACTCAGCTTCAGTTTTTCACGTTAAAGGCCAGATACCAAGTCAGAAATCTTGGTATAGTCTTGGACTCATGTCAATTTTAAAAGCCACGTTAAGACAATTACAAAATCAAACACACAGAGAGTACTTTGCAGGGGTTTGTCTTTACCATCACTTCGTATACAGCGAGGAGGTTCAGAGGACCAGTGTCCCTGTGCATTGCAGGTGAGAATTCTTAGTCCGTCTAGCAGATAACCAGGATCACAGCTGTACTGTACCTCTGTTCCCACTGGGAACAAGCTGCTGTTGGTGCCTGTCAGCTTAGTTGAGCCGTGCTGCACCATGGAGGGTCTTACACAACCTTAAAAAGGGACAAAATTAAAAAATATGATAAATATTTGTAATTAATCTTTAATTACAAATACAGGCTTATTTAAATAGCATCTGTAACAATAAAACGTGCTACAGAGGAAAACAGTTTGAAAAAAATGGAACACATAACAATTAAAACTTAAAACATGAAACTCAAACATGAAAGGATGCATACATAGTTGACATAATTATTTGAACATGCATCTATCCATTATCTATACTGTATTTCCAGAATAGGGTCACTGGGGGGCTGGAGCCCATCTGGGTGAAAGGCGGGGTCCACCCTGGACAGGTCACCAGTCTATCACAGGGCTGACATGTAGACAAACAACCACACACACACACACTCACTCCTACGGGCAATTTAGAGTCACCAATCAACCTAAGCTGCATGTCTTTGGACTGTGGGAGGAAGCCAGAGTACATGGAGAGAACCCATGCAGGCACAGGGAGAACATGCAAACTCTGCACAGAAAGGCCCCAGACAGAAGGTCAGGGACAAAATGTGTCTCTGACTGCATTTACAGGAAGAGTAAAAGTTAAGTTTGCTCAATACAAATCAATGTTATTAATGTTAAAACCACAAGTGTAAATTGTAATACAAAACAGAATATATGTACAGTAAGTAGGTTTGAAACTGGAATTTAAATAAATATTAACATCTAAGTAAAAAAAAAATCCCAAACCATAATACACCTAAACTAGATAATAACTATTCATTTAGTCAAAAGCAGCAGTTTGTCTTTACCATCACTGTGAATACAGCGAGGGGGATCAGAGGACCAGCGTCCCAGTGTGGTGCAGGTGAGGATGCTGGGCCCAGCCGGCAGGTAACCTGGGTCACAGCTATACTGTAGTACAATGCCCACAGGGAACAAGCTCCTGTTGGTGTCTGTCAGATTTGTTGATCCATGCTGCACCATGGAAGGTCTTATACAACCTTAAAAAAGGAAGAGCATTCAAAAAACTGTCAATATCTGTAATTACACTTTAATAAGTTTCCTTTATATAATACATTTTGACAAGTGGAACAGACTTCAACACAGATAAGAATTAAAAACAAAGTAAAACATTTTATAAAAACTGAAATAACTAAGAAAAGATTAAAGAATAGGTTTAAATGAAAACACTGACTTCCACAGCTGAGACTGCTGACAGTATTAGGATAATCTCTTTTATAAACTGATATCTGTGCAGATTCTCAGTCATCCAGGTCATAGTAAACCGCAACTGAAATAACCTTGGAAATCAACTGGACTTGGATATCTAGATCGAAGACATTTCACCTCTCATCCAAGAGGCTTCATCAGTTCTGACTGACTGGTGTTGAGTCGGAGATATTTATACCCCTCGGTGTCGTTTCAGTCCTTAGAAGGCCAATACTGCCCATTAACGACTGAGTCGTTACAGCCCAGTATCAGTGAGGGTCGTTACCTGTCTTTGGATCCTCCCCTGTCAACCGACGCCTATTGTCCTGGTGGGCATGTTTGGGCAGAGATCTCAAAACCGGGTTGTAGATGGAAGACAAGTTGTGTCTTAGTCCACCACCCCTATTTAGTGAGGGGTGTTCTATTTTTACGAAAATAGCTTCCTTAACACCTCTCTCAAACCAGCAATGTTCTCTGGAGAGGATCTGGACTTCACTGTCCTCAAAAGAGTGTCCTTTCTCCTTCTGGTGGAGGTGGACTGCTGACTCTGGTCCACGTAGCGGGCCTCACCCCAGACCATGTTTGCACTCTGCTGGAACTCTGTTTAAACACCACTTACTTCCAGTTTAGGGGGCACTTCTATAGGCAACAACACGGCTGTGCTATGGGCTCCCCAGTGTCTCCTATAGTTGCCAACCTGTACATGGAAGAATTTGAGAAGAAAGCCCTGGCTTCCTTCGCTGGCACC